CTAACGATGTAAATATGCTCGTAGTAGCCTAATCATCACAGCCAGTTTACCACCCACTAGATGATAGAGATTGGAGACGGCAGCAGCATTCAGTTTGTTTACGAAAGGGTCTTATGATAATGAAGGGATAACAAAGCAGCGAAACTTCTGGTTCATACGGTCTGGAGAATAACATGGAAACATAAATGGGACCAAAGCGAGCAAGATACAAATTTGGAAAAAAATTAACTCCTTCTACGGGAAGCGCAGATCTGTGAATTCGTCATTAAAGCGGCTGAACTGAATAGGCAAAACTGTTCTTGTGATATCTCTGGCACGCAAACGGTGAGAAGTAAGTACAAGTAAATAAACTAACTTTGTAGTGGTGCCCACATCTGGCAAAGCATGGTTCGGTTGGACTGTCTGTTAGCGATCAGTTTGGCGTGTAGCCGCCCACAATTGAGACACATGGAGGAAGGGGACTCCACCAGCTTAAAATATATTCCACTTAATAACGCGATGATCAAAGTGCTGTCCTGTAGACCGTAACCTTCGAAAAGGTGGCGTGCAGAATATGAGAGAGAAATCATGGAGATTTAATTGGATAAGTCAAGGAAAAATCATACAATTAACAATGGTAATATCATTTGACGATAAAGCGGTTTCCACATTATTCAGTATATATGCATTTCTTAAAATACATCTGCATAACTATGTAATAAATTGGAGATTTGTCATTTGGCTATCAACCTTAGAACAAAATAACCGTTTTACGTCTGGAAAAGTTACGCAGCGTCAAGTCTTGATTCAGTTGCATCGGATTCGACGGTTCTCCCTTCCCCTTCTGGTCTCCGACCCTTAGAACGAGAAGAGTGCGTAGTGGATGACGTTTATTATTTAAGCGATGATGTAGAGCGTTCACAGATGATCGAGGTTTAGGTGCAATCATCGTTCGCTTCCTCTTCAAGGCTCAAAGGTGTCCGCTCCGTCACGTGGTAGGCGTAAGCTGACTGCTTCTCACGTAAAAGGGGTAATCAACCAAAAACATTACTCAGTGTTATTTTAATCATATCATATTTAGAATAATGAGTATTCAATCTCGATTCTTAAAAGCCTGCTTGTGAATCTTGCTAATTAATGAAAATCCTACGATTTTCACTTCTTGCGCGTTGGAGATTGAGGATTACAAGAACCGTCCTAAGCATCCCACGAACGAATCGTGTTCATTTATCATCGTTAAAGGTTTGGTATGTTTGAACAGGCGGCGCTACTACCAATACCCCAGGATAACAGTTTAAAAGATAATTAATACTGACGAAAAGACAACTAACTTAAAGAGTAATTACTTGGTGTGCACCACCTCAAAATAAGCTTGTTTTAAAATACTTTTTAAAAATGCAGCAGGTGGATGGTACTAGGACAAATCGACTTCAAAAGTATATCGTGGCTTGAATTTTCTGGAATTTTGTTTCATAAGGTAGGCAGTCACTGCCACAAAAAATCGTCCTGATCCCGCTTTAAATGCGCGTTAAAGGTATGAATTTAATATGGAAATTAAAAAATCGTTCCAAAGGTAACATGGCCGTTGTGTTGGAATAATGTTAAAATTAAGCAAGTTTAATAATATGTTTTAAATCGACCGCAGCTGTTAATTAAAAGAACTGTTTAATCAATAATATCGGGATAAATAAAGATTTATCTCAGACCTACGAATAAAATGTTGCGATAGAAATACCCATGAAATTATTTGTCACCCAAATTAAAAGAAAACATTTGTCAGCTCCGTTTAGCTTTGAATTTCCGCGTAATGCTGCAAAGCAATGTAGATTTCTTTCGAAAAAAACAAATGATTTAAGTAAAGGGAAATGATGGCAATCTTTCCCAATCTACTTACCACGGTTGTGGTGGTCAAATTAGACTCGTGAGTCACTGGCATAAGTAGATTAGCTGAAAGCGCTTAAATCCTTGGATTAACTATCGAGATTAGCTGTCTCCAATGCGTTGGTGGGACTAATGTATGATTGAGAATCTGGAAAAAGACGATGTGCGTGCAAAGATACCCGTCCGTCTGCTTAATTCGGTTGGAATTGACTGGCGCCTCAATCAGGCCATTTCTGGGTCCAGATAACCTTTTTGACATCTACGGGCAAATAATCCAAACCATTAGTATTCAAATTAAGAAATCGTTAACCTTCTCCTGTGTATAGTGGACCGTAATCTTTTTATCACGATTTTAAGGAAATAAAGTAATAGTGGGTTTTCAAACAGTAAGAGAGTACAAAAAAAATAATGGTAAGTTTTAAAGCAAACGCCGGAGCGAGAAAGTGATACTTTTAGAAGATTCGCGGTCAAGCACGTGGCCAGATAGATGGATTTCGAATAGCCTTCTTTAGCATTTATAGACTTTCTGATTTCGTTCTGGGAAATTAAAAATTTAACAACACCTTATTTAAGCAAGGAGCTATGCATCAACAAGTTCAGATCCCCATTTGCAAAGACGCTACATGCATCTACGAAATTCTGGAAAAATATCGAGAGTTAAATACGTGCCATTTAAAGGCGCTTGGAGAACAAACTATGTATTAAAATGAAGTTATGCTCATTCAGGACCAACTTCTAAACCAGTCGAATTATAAGTTTACCCAAAGCTGATATATTCAAGCAAGACTTTTGATAAATGAACGCGAATTTCGAAGGCATAATTTAGTCTATGAGTGCATGTAATTGACTACAAATTTATTTTATTCAAATAGTACTTTAAGTTAGGTAAATTTGACAATCTGCGACAATCGTCTTGCTTGATTGAACGCCGTGGTAGTAACTTTTTCTTAGATGAAAAAAATTGAAGTGGGACTTCAAATACTCCAGTGCGTAGACCTTGGGCCAAGCACATATTGGCACCGTCCGGGTAAAAGGTCGAACCGAACTGAACAAACTCTTTGAGCATGGAGAAGTTTGGGCAAAATGCCCATCTCCTCTGGTCATTAAGTATATTTGTAGTACAGTGGTTTAAGTCTATAATGTACAAAATGAAAGTGAATTAAAATCAAATGCAAAACAAATAATTTTTTATTATTAGTTAAAAGACAATGAAGGGCTGACCACAGATAAACGAAAGAACTAATCTCTGAAAATGCAAATGCGGAGGCGATAAGTAACCTTTCGTGGATGCATTCATTTCATAGCTGTGTTGGCTGGAACTCCCAAAGATGGACAGAAAGTAGCTCTTTAGAATGACATTGTGACAAAAAAGTGGATTGAAAGGAATTTTGCCATTCCTTAACTCCTAAGTATATTTCAAAACGTGTAAGCTAAAGGATTTAACAAAACCCAGTTTTGATTTCTCAGCCCTGATTTAGGACTACTATAATGATGGATATGCATACTTTTTAACGTCAAGAGAATGGGTTATACATTGTGAAATCTAAATTAACAATCCTTATGCTTGAACAAAACAAACAATATATATTAAGAAATGTGGTTAACCTTGGTTGGCAATCACATTGCTCACAAGTATTGGTCATATCCAGTTGAATTATGTCCAGGTAATAATTAAACGGAGTATACAACCACATTTTAAGAGATTTCAGCTAAAGATTAGTGAAGTGAGAACTAATGGTAGAGGACCTACTTTTACTATTTTGCCCTTAACGCGGTATAGCACAACGTGGCTCAAGTCACCCAGCCATATCCCGTCAAAGCATGCTAATAAAGGCATCGTATAGGTCAACCTGTAGCTCTCCATTTTTCTAATGTTGACAAGAAAACTCGATAGGTATGAATATAATTTTTCAAATCACATAACATTGCTATTTGTCTGACATTTTCATTCCAAAGCTAAATAGTTGCTCCGTTTTGACACTTGTATGCAGACATTCAGAAAAAATTCTAAGCTTCTTTTTAATTAAAAAAAATAGAAATTATTCTAGAAATAAAAACAATAACTACTAACTAGAACTTAATGATTGTCGAATAGCATGTTCGGATAGTAAAATCGTTTACTTGTAACATTTAACACTGTCGCGGCTGACTTCGGAAAGCTGAAAAAGAATTATACCCAAATTTCTTCAGGCATTATTTGGAACACTGAGCGAGAGCCATGATTCGATTTAACTTTTGCTTTAAAATCCAAATATCATGTTCAGTACCTGAAAACGTGACCCATTAATTTAACTCTTCCATTCTTCTATCGTTATACAAAATCTCGGTTACTCAATTTCACCATGGAACATTTTAAGAGGTATTTTAAAGCAGTATTTTACCAACACTAATGTATCAGCTATTTTGTGCTATTTTTACTAGCAAGTCGTCACGCATTTCTACGTGCTACATATGGACAGGAAATGCATTCTGCACACAGACACGCAGGAGTAATGCAGATACTCCTGGGATGCATTGATGCTCCCCACCCCCTGATTGGCTACCCCTGCAGAGAATCGGACCAATGATACAAGCTGGCATGAGGAGGAGAATGACTATTTCTCCAAACACGGGCAGTTGAGTTCTTTGCCAGAATCCACAAGTCAGCTACCATCTCCACTGCTGCCACTTTTAGGCCTGGCCATCCACAGCCACTCGCCCTGGTCTAAGCACACGCACACACCACCGGCACCAATTTCTCCGGGACAAGTGCTCCCACCATTGTTTGCTTTGAGGTGAGTATAAATCTATACTCACTTAAAAATAACCGTACTACAGAGTCACGCAACATTTTCCATCAACCTGAACTCACAATCTGACCCCCTAAATTTATCATCCTACTACTTCCCAATCAACGACTAAGCACTGAGCCAAAGTGATTTTGTAACGCATAAAGCAACATCTTCGAAAAATTGGTCTCAAACAATAAAAAATACACGTTTGATTTAGTAGGGGATTTGCACAAATTAAAGAATAAACCATGAAATCAAAGATTTCTGTCGAATTTACTTCAAATAACTCGGCATAAACACAATTTTTTTGCAGCTTTAGAACCAAAGTCACTTTTTGGTCGGTGATAAATTATCCTAACGACAATTTCAATGAGCTGCTGCTTTTTTGACAATAATCAAATGGCAAAAGAGATTGGAGAGTTAACTGAGAGAGTAAAACAATTAGTGAAAATTAGAAACGTTGATTTCATCAAATAATTTGCAGGCCAATCTAAACTATTTCCGAATGAGACGACTACACTTAGGTAATTTAGGTGAACAGCGAAACCGGATACTTTCTTGCAGGGATGAATTTTCCAATGAGTAATTTAGATCACAACTTTATTTCCTTTATGTCAATCCGGATTTTTTAATGTTACTCACCCAAAATGATGGGGAAAATAAAGAAATACAATGCCATGAGCCCAACTAGAGCCAAACTTTATTCATTTATCTAGGTCCTTATGGATGAAATTAAAATAATGTTTAGATAATAAATATCGGCAAAAATATCAATATCTGTTTCTGATGAGGAGTAGCAAAGCATAAAACAAGCATACCATTTATTTTAGAATCTAAATAAATTCACTTATGTTTTACTTTAGGAAAGAACTGCAAAGCGAATTCTGACTATGCAAGGATTATTCCTCCTCTTCTCGTCTATCTTCCTACTTTCTTTGAGCAAAGGTGAGCAGCTTCAATTCCAACTTCACTATGCTGTTCGCGAGAACGAGCCGAGTGGCCATCGTGTTGGCTACCTCGATGAAGATCTCAGACGCCAGCAGTCATTAAATTTTTCTCAACTCTGTGGCGGAGGTGGTGGATGTAAAGACTTGCGCTTCCGACTTCGTGAACCATCCTTCCATTTGGAACTGGATGAGACCACTGCCTTGCTCACAACAAAGTCGATCATCGACTTTGAACAGCTGTGCATCGGGCAATGTCGTTCCACTCTTGATGCCTACTTGAGTGTGACGGTCAACGTGTGGCAGGAAAGGAAACTGACTGCATTCATTCACGTAAGAATTCAAGTGATTGATGTGGATGACAATAGCGTGGAGTTTCCTGAAGACATTCCCAGACCCTTTATCCTATGCTTAAAGGAAGTGATCTATCGAAAGGGCAAAACAATTGAGTTGCCTCGAGCTGTGGATAGGGACGTGACCCCAAAGTTTTCCTCCATCACATATCGGCTGGAATTTGCCACCAGTCAATGGGCATCTATGAAGATGGTGGAGTTGAGTGTGACGAATGATTCGCGGCCTCTTTTAGTACTGAAAGAAGACTTAGATTATGAGGACGTAAAAGAGTATGGCTTCTCGCTGGTGGCGTGCAATCCGAGCCTACAGGCAGATAGTCCAAAAACAGTGGTCCAGGAAGCACAGCTTTCAGTTGTTATTCAGGTACTGAATATCAATGATATGGAGCCAGTGTTTCCTCAATCTGTTTACACGGTTGAAGTGCCAGAAGATATTCAACCAGGAATGGTTATTATTGAGGTAAGTTAACACTCACTCCAGTATATTTTTCCAAGACTGATTTATTTATTAGTGACATTATTATGCAGACGGAGAAAGTAGTTCAGACCAATAAAACTATTAAAATGGGTAGGTTTTTAGACTGGTATCATCTTAAACATCGCTATTGTAGGTAGATCGGGTTATTATTGTCGAAAAAGTAAACTCCAAATGCAGCAGATGGTTTTTAAAGTAAAAAGAATGTGAAATGTGAAAATGAGAAGGCTGGATATAATAACAAATCTACCATTCCGTAATTTTTTACTGAAAAGTTGGTGTTAGCAACAATATATGCTTCCACATGTCAGTTTCCTATCCATTTAAACAAGGTAACATTTATTGATGTCTGCAGAAAAAAAAATAAGAGAAATTTGATCCTCTTTATGGTAATGAATCAATAAATATTAGCTTCAAATTAATATAAAGGCCACGGTATCATCAAATCGCAAACTCCAGTCCACGGATCCAAGCGTAACTTTATACTGCAATTATTTAACCAACACATGCGCAAGTTTCTTTCAGCACTTATGTTTACTCTTACCAGAAGTGGTTAAATGATGATTAGCTACCTTCGATTCATCAACTACGATAAAAATAATGTTTAGAACTTATTGCATGAGTCGCGTAATTTGAACACGAAATAACTCTCCTGCTTAGTTGAAAGCAATCGATCGTGACGCCGATGCGGTTCTCACGTACTCCATAAACTCCGCACCAGGGATGAATTTGTCGACACCTTTCGAGGTAGAACCTGATGGAAAAGTGCGTCTGCGCGAGCGCTTCGACTTTGAACAATGCACCGACTACAATCTGCCAATTAGAGCAAGCGATGGGGACTTCACTGCTTCGACTCGCCTTCACATTCATCTCCTTGATATCAATGATGAAGCGCCCACTTTCATTGTCAATCCCACGCATCTAACGGTTGAGGAAAATCAGCCACCTAATATCATAATTGGCCAGGTTTGATTCCTTTTGTACCAATTGCGTGATTTTATGTAGTGCATATACTAGTTTACATGTGCAATGTGTTGACTCTAGTGGAACCACTACAATAAATACATCACCTGATTAGAGATTGACTGAATTGTTATAATTAAATCGGTTCTGTTTTATTATTTCGATCAGATTATAGATGCAAAGAGAATTAGACTGTACATAAATTTACACTTGAGGAGTTAATTTAATGCTTGTTGACATAGCAGAATAGCAAAGTGCTCACCTACTTTATCTCGGCACAACAGGTATTTTCTTCGACATTTTTAGGAGTTCAATAACTTGGTCGATACGCCCATATCGATGAAGGGCTATCTTTGGGGAGGTTATCAGACTCTAGGCTATTGTAAAAAGTGTTCTTATTTTAAATAAACTCACTAGTTGTGGGAAGAAGCCAATCTTTACTTTTACCGTCATATTTAGGTGGATATGCAAAGCCTAATAGAGAACAGCATACCGTTTAAGAAAAAGTCGTTCCACTTCTAACTTTCAGCGTCTAGAGTATTCTAACTATACGTGCGATGAATATGATGCAATGTCATAAAGAAAATAGTTTTGATTCAATGGTGTATGCAAAATAAAGTCGTGGTAAGTCCAAGGCAAGAGATTCCAGGTATGAATTACCTCTACCTATAGGCAGAACTGCTGTTAGAATTACTCAGTGAATTTTTTTATTTTCCTTCAAATTTGCAGAAAAGGTTAGTTTGCGTGCTTGAAACATTCAGAAACAAATGAGATCGGCATTGGCGGTTCTGCAAAAACACCTACCAGAAAATGGGTCCATTACGATTGTGGGTATTAAAATTACCGGCCAGTCCAACATAGCCACCCAGGCAGATAGGGCGGTCATAACTTTTGTTTGTCTATATTTTTTTAAATGCACCAGGATATCTATTTTCTAGAAAGTGCTTCTGGACATTAAGATTTGAACAGAAATATGATTTAAAATTCACTTAAATTCTCAAATAATCCAAAACAGACAAGAAGGAAATTGGTTGTTATATCTGAAAATATGCATTCGGTCATATTTAAAATGCATATGCATCGGTGTATTAATAAGCAATACTTCGCCCTTACACTATAAAGTCATTTTGCACGTACATGAAGTCGTGTGGTTGAAGGTTTTTCCTTTCTCCCATAAATTTATTTTAATGACTTGATAACCGCGAAATTAATGTGATTGCGGCAATAATTGAAATATGGAATTCACCTTAAGCATGGCTTATGTGTTAGTGATATATGCAACTTAACAACGCAGAAAGACGTAAAACGAGACTTTTACAATGCACGTAGCCAGAGACAAGGAAATTTAAAAGTTTTAAATTCATATGCAAACTTAGTGCCTTGGTCATTATTTCAAGCAATTTTGATAGAAGGGAAAAATTACCGTAGATGTTGAATACGTTGGTTCTTAGTTTGAGAAAGTGCGCTATGCATAGTTAAGTTGTGTAAAGTATTTTTAAAGGCTCTTACAATAATCATTTGTGGGCATTTTGGAGCTTTTCGTTACGACAACCAAAGTGAATAATGAATGACGAGGGAATTCGTTAATTATTAGGTTGCTACTAAAAAAGGTATCTAATCGTGATTACGGTGTTAGGTGGTCGTCCGTGATGCAGACACATTCGCAGTGAATGGCTATCTGGAGTGCGCAGAGCCACCGGAGGATGCAGAGCGACAGCCACTGCGCTTTGAACGACGAGTGGAATCGGTACAGTCAACACTCGAGTCAACTGCCGTGCCGGAGCTGCACTTCGACCTTTACACGCGCCACAGCCTTGACCGCGAGGAGGGTGCGGCTGTGCGACTTGCTCGTTTGGTCTGCTGGGATGGTGGAGGTGGTGACAGTGGCGCAGAGGCGGACGAGGTGCTCTACGGCGATAGATCCACTGCGACTGCAGGCCGATCGGTCAGTCTCACCTCAACCCTCACCATATCTATTCACGTGCAGGATAAAAATGACAACGCCCCTATCTTCACTCAATCCACATTCGCTGCTGACTTGGAGGAGAACAATGGCATAAGGAAGGAGATATTGCAAGTATGGATTTTCTCTGTCACAGACACAATTTCTGCACGATTTAAAAATTTTCCTGTTCGTTTTTAAAAGCCTTGAGTTTTAAGTAAACTTTTCTGTAAAATATGGCTTGTGAAGCATAACATTCCCAGGCAATGTATGAAAGGAAAGAAAGTAAAAAAGTTGAAATAAACTATGCCAGAGCAATCGTTTATGCATGGTTTTTTAAAAATTAGGGGAACCATGCCTTTAAAATTACTGGAATTTAGTACTAATCACCCTAATATTTGAATCAAACATCAAGTGCTTACTAGTTATACGATTTTACAAGAATGGTACTCGAAATAAAGAGGACTTGTGATATCAAACATGCGTTAAAATAAAATGGCATATTTGCAAAACAATAAAATCAGGTAGTTATAAATAATTTGTACGGCAAATTGAGCCTTAAAGATTCTGAACTATTTTGCTAATTGAGAAATCAGTAGTCCACTTGTCAAAGTTCGTTAGGAATGCGTAGGCAAATTTCCCTATTTGAATTAAAACCAAGAAATTCCGTTAATGTAGAGCATTACTTAGTAACTGCAAGTCCCAGGATTACAGGAAGTTCCAATGAGCAGTACTACATTTTAATTCATATAAAACTCCATCTTAAATCTTCGATATTTAAACAACAATTCCTAAGGAAGTATTGTAGTTAGGATGAGAAGCTCAGAGATCTGAGGAACACTTCAGCACTGGCTTACATAGAAAAACGGAAATGGGTGTAACGCGGATAACTCGCTAATCCAAACAATGGGCTATTTCCAATTACCACTGTCTATTTCGTATCAAAAAAAATTTGGCTAATCTTACTTTATTTTACATCTCCAAGATAAAACCACGAAACAAACTTAAAATACATCACACTAGACTCTAAATGTATATCAATATCAAGAATAGGTGTTCTCAGCAAAAAGTGGGTGTTCCCTTATCATTTATTCTGAGTTTTAGTTGGGTAATTAGAATTGCCAACTGTAGCAAAGAACGGCAATAAATGGTTCTTTTGAAGTACTTTAAATTTTAGTCAGCACAAATCATTTTCCTTTTATGAAGCTTAATTATTTCCACATGTCACACAATGAACGATTCTCTTAAAAACTTATTAGTCATTATAACTTATTATTAGGTACATTTTACTTTTGCTTCAGCTGACTTCGAAGGACTACGACACCGAGGAAAATGCCATCACGCGGTACCGTTTGACAGACGAGAATGCAGATGCCTCTCTGTTTTATCTAAACGAGGATACAGGTCACCTTTACGCAATGGCCCACTTTGACAGGGAAACCAGGGACACCTACCACGTGAGAACCGTTTTTTAATACATATTTTATAGAGTTAGTATCAGTCTACGTCTAACGATGGTGGAGGACTTTAATAAATTACCTACAGAGTTTGCATTTTTAGGGTGTTAATCGTATAGAGCTCCTTAAAATGCCTAAAAAATATAGCTTGTCATGGTAAATTCACTTATTTGGTTGATGCACGTCAACATTTAAGTTAAAGCAAAACCAAGTTTTACTTACGTTACAAGCCAAATTAAATCAAATTATCAGATTTGAACTATGGAAGAACAACAAGAGTTGTTTTACTGAAAGCCGAGGTAATTGATTGTATCAAAGCATGTCAAGTAAGTCTTTCTGTCTATTCTTAACGCTTGCTAAGTAATTTGATAAAGTGGACAGACAACATTGTGTAAAACGCTTTTTACGCGTGAAAATGTCCCAGGAGCACAGTTTTACTGCTGCAAACATGCTCTACAAGAAAGTAGGGCCTTTTTGCATAGAATCTTTAATGATTGACTTGAAAAGCCAAAAATAAATCATACTGGCTCGAAGGTTACGAAGCTATCTTTAAGGCCATCTCCATGTTATGGAAAAATATCACTGGTAATGATAAGATAAGCGAAATACAGCTAAATAGGTGCGATAGAGCTGGAAGTGATTCCTGGAGCTGTCTATGCACTCATTCATGGCGGTCTTAACTACCTTTCGGGTGATAGCCTAAACAATTGAGAGATGGGCATAAGCACTATGGGATTTTTTTCGACACCTATCGTGACGAAGGTGACGCCTATTCTAAATATCTTATTAGAATCTGACAGTTTAAAAGCAACGCCATGACACTACTATATGTTGCAGATCATTGACAACCCATAAATGGTTTTCCGGAGTGTAAAGTGACCCATATTTATCATTTAAGCGTGCATATCATGCGTTTTACACTAAGAAACGGATGAGTAGACCAGGTCCATGACAGTGTAACTAGCAACTTTAGAAACCAAGATCAACAACTTCATCTTTAAAACAATCATTGTATCCCGGAAATACAATGCTTTAACCCATGTGATCCACATCAGTGGTGTGTACATCACGTTATATCTAAATTAGTTAGACGCAAGAATTTTGGTAATTTATGAAGTAGTAACTTACCGACTCCATTAGTTTGTACATTTAAAAGAAGCCCATAGTCAAGTGAGAAGACTGGTGTCCAACATTTAAACATAGTCAAAGCGAAATTCCAGTAATTTAAACATCAGAAGTTATTCAAACCTGGAAGATTTCATTTACATCTCATTACAAAATTCAAAGTATGGCTAAGTGTAGTGTGTCACAAGGTAACTCAGGATACTTTAAATGCCGATTTACAAAATTGGTGAAAGAAAAGTTAAGGACGCTCGCTCGATGTTATATCCACCACCGAAGCATGTGTTTGAAAATATTATTTCATAATAACGCGACAGAATACACGGATCAAAATGCAGGTTACATTTTTAGCAAACCAAATATAGTTCACCTGATAAGAATGTACAATCATCGGTTATTTTGGAATCGACGATCCCTTTTGGGAGTTTTGGTAGCGGATTTGTGTCTCGCCAATTCGTAAAATGCAAAAAAGTTAAGCAAAAGCACGAGGTAGTCACGCAATTGGATTTCACTCTCTTGAATGTCATGCTGGAAAGTGTACCGATGAGGTGCATCAGACATTCTTCAGTCCGAGAGGAAGCGTTTTAAAAAGTGTAATAACATAGCTATTCGTTGGTGGATTTCTTCATCAAAACATTTAACATTGGGCGTAGTGCATTGCTTAAGGGCACAATCAGTAACATTAACTCTTAACAGTGAGTGAGCAGTTGTGATGCCTTTTATTAGTTTTGGTTTCAATTCGACCAACGGTCAGCAGCAAGATTCTGCATCACAATTGAAAAAAGAATTACTGGGGCGGCGGAAGTTTCGAAACAGCGATCAAAGACTAAAGTTGATGAAGCAAAGAATTTGTTGCAGGAGCGGAGCTACTTTAAGTGTTCGGTGGACATGTGCAGAAGCCATTCCACATGCGGTGCAGGATATAGTTACTCAAAACAGGCGACCTTCGGCAACTCAAACGAGTTTGTGAGGTGATTGGCTGCACGACTCGAATACGACATGGACGACCCGGTACAAGAACTAGAGCAATGTTACATAAAATGTAAAATGCTGAAATACCATAAATTATTCACTTTCAGCATTTATTCTGGGTGTTATCACCAAGTCCATCAATTTAGCTTAATGATACAAACAACAGTGTATCAAGCCACTGTAAAAGTATTTAGAAGCGATTTATGCAACTATTTGCAACTGAGATTGTATTTAATGGGTCGGTTAGCTGGAAGTTAATAAATTTTACAGATTTCAGTAGAACCGCATCCTGCACTTTGGTTGAGCAGTGCAAAAACAAGTCGGTTAAATTGGCGACATACTTAATCCTATTTAATATATCCAACTCAAATTTACTAATGCCTCTAGTGTAACGTCAATTTTTGAACTCATTCTCACAAGCAACTCGTAATTATAAAGAAATTTTTGGGGTTTAAGGGCCTTTGAAAGCGTTCATGTAAACGCAAGTCAAAAAGATTTTAGCATAGTTGAAGGTATTTCATAACTAAGATAGGAGAAGCGTCTGTCTTTGCAATTTCTTAAAAACGTGATGGAATAAGAATAGGGTTTTCTTGCGAATTCGACCTTGGTGTAAGAGTTTTATTGTGAGTTTGAATTTGTACTCACTACTCAGTTAAGTTTTCACACAATCGGCACTTGAGTATCATGAATTGTCCAAAATATAATTATGCTTGATTCAAGAAGAATTCAGCAAATTACAGATTAACGTTTTTGAGGCAGAAAGATTTTTCAACTATTTTCAACTACTACATTTAGTATGTACTCTTCTCTGTGCATTAAATTGCTAACATGTGCAGTAACTTTAATGGCCAAAACTTGTCATATTACAACGAACACGTTCTTGCATGAAATACTCCAAAATTCCATTGAACCACTCATGAAAGCACAATAATTAAGCAAATAGTTTGGGACTAAACCTAAGACAGCAAATTTCGGCCCAAAAAACCCGTTTAATTACCGCACATTTATTGCATGAAACCACTACATTATTGGGTATACAAGTCTATTTCATTGTACCTTATAAAAAGCACAAGCAGATCACAATTCACACACTGTGGTTTATTTTCATCCAATCTCTTAACCTTATTTTTCATGATTTTCTCAAGATCGCCGGTGCTGTCACCTTTAGCATATCGAAAGGTTATGCTGATGCCCCGGGAATTTTCATGTTCGCATGATTAATGTCCCCTTCCCATATCAAAAAAAAAATACAAAATATTAGTTTGTTTTATGTAGTTTTTTTCACTTTTGCCCCAGATGTTAAAAACATTTTGTAATGTTAATAATTAAATTGAACTAAATATAATTAAGAAAAAAAATCTGCTCAGCATGCAATGACGACCCCTTGAAAAAAACCGCTCTAAAATTTTCCGATCACACAATCTTCAAACATTCAGTAAATGAGCATGCAGGCTGTTATTATACGAAAAAGGCATGGGTTTTGGGTATATTAAGCGTTTTGCAGTGCCCTATGGCCAAAATTATTACTAAGTAACATTATATTAAAACGCACTTTTAGCATAGCTTTATTTCTGACGCGCCTAACCATCAGTAAAATGGCTAAGTCCCCCATACTGTTCATATAGGACCAAGGTGTGTGATTCTAATCATTGTGGATACGTCTTCAGAAGAACTACTAAAGATGTAGAATCATTATTCATGATTTAATGAGGAATATTTTAAACGATAATGAAGTGAAACATAGTTAATTTCTTATTTCAGTTGCAAGTTGTGGCTTATGACGCCAGTCAAAATCCCCTTGAGATCCCCGGAACAGATCACCAGTCCATCTCCACGGCGATGGTTATAGTGCGCATAACCGACGTTAATGACCACGCACCACTGATTCAAGAGACTGGGGAGCTCATTCTCCCCGAGAACAAGGAACCCGATTTTCTCGTTGGACAGGTGGTGGCGACGGACCTCGACACTGGTGTCAACGGTGAGGTCACCTTCGACATTGTGCCCACTGATCCGCGTGCTGTGTTCAATGGCCCGCAGCATACGCAAGTCATTGGCTTTCGTATGACTCCAAATGGGAGCATCTTTTCCACAAGACAATTTGATCGTGAAACACAGGCCAGTCATTTTACTGTACTTAATCAACCAGTCTTTTATGCTAGAATATGTATTTGTGCTTTAGCATAATAATTATAAATAAAAAGCATAATAATTTTTTCGACTAAGTACAAAACTCAGGAAATTGTTTCCAGGGCAGGAGGTGTCAAACATTAGCAAACTTCTTATTTCATAGCTAGGTTGATTTGCTTGAATCAAATAATAGTTCGGCTTTCAAAAACGCCGTAAATTAATATGTATAAGCAATTTTGGGCCATTATTGTTGCAAAAGACTATATTAACCAATTTTACAAATCGAATAACTGTGAATATGTGTGAGAATACGGTTCTGAACGACTCAGTACTCAACTATTTTTTTGAGAGGTGGCACCGCATAGCGGAACGCAAGTGAACAATGTACCACATAGATAAGATAGCACATCATTGTCAAGTTATTATGGGGTTAGCTTCGATAGGATGCATCTCAGCGATTTGCATTTTAATATAGAGGAACTCACATGGATTCCATCTGTCAAAAAGAAATTACCAATTCTTACAGTGTTGGAGAATCTTACTTCTTCTGCGAGATTAATGCAGAATTTGGCATCTTATACAGATGCTAGGATTTACTAGGCTATGCTCATTTCTCTGGTTTGCAAGTTTTTTAATTGTTTCTTTTCAACGCATCCTGGCAGTCAACCTTGCAAACATTCTGCATGCATTTTAGCGAAAGCTTTTAGTGAATTCAACGCAGCATTGCTGCGGTGATTCCTGTTGACTTGATTCTCAGAACATTTGAGTCAAAATTTCCCTAACGCTTAAAAATAACAACACTTAAAAAGTATTTTTTACTGCAAGTATGCAATAGATCAACTTTGCCAAAAGTAGATTCCTTGAGATAATGTTATACTTAAGTGCTTTCATTCGTGACTTCTTGGAAAATTTGCCTAAATTGAGTGAGTAGATAACGTTGCCGGATAAAACTCCCCTCCCACAAAGGGTGCCATCGTCAAATGTATTCGCAGTCATTGTTCACTACTAATTGACCAACGCAGAAAATGACTATTTAGACAGGAGTTCCTTTCAAGTTGCGCATTAAAGACAGATTCTATGGTCTAATTGTTTAATACTAAGATAAAACTTACGCCAATCTAGAATTGTACCAAAACTCTCAATACAGCAATAACCACATAAAATATGTTACTACTTTAAAAATTTAGATATTTAAACATTCCTCGAAAGGGCTTCAGTTTTAAAAAATTTTTTATTACAGTCGCGATATTGTTTTCAAGTCCAGGCGAAAGACAAATCGTCGGAAGCCTCGCTATCTTCAACAGCGCGAGTATGTGTTAATATTCTCGATGTTAACGACAACTCTCCAATCATACATTCCATCGAGGGCCCTGATGCACGTGGGTGTTATTACCACTTTTCTAAATTGTTATGTTACTTTGTGATTGAATGACTCGTATGTGAGCATAGGAGATGTTACTACTGATAACTATTCAAAAACCAAAATGCAACACTTAACCAGTTCTCATCATGTACTTAAAATACTTTTTTGTGTTTGTCAGTTGTTGCTCTGATACAAATGCTTACACTTCATAAAATGAGCGTTAGCCATCATACAAGTGAAGGGTGAGGTCTGAGTTACCAAGATATCTAGTATAATTTGTTTGGCTCGCTGCCTCATACAATGCTCATGCCGTCACATCCCTTGCCCATTGCCTGTCTCATCCTACCAAGGGGAAGTCAGACAGCTGTCAAAAGGTGGCACTTTTATTATAATAAAGGAATTACTTTTAAAGATTTAATGGCTGCAGCGTAGTCCATCTGCTTATGCATTACCACCAAACATGATTTAGTCACTGTAGCCGCTGGTAGGGTGTGAGTCTACCATCATCCACATTTGGTAGGCTGACACCACATGGTTTGCTCGTATATTAACCAATCCTGTGTAGATGTTTTCAGTTTGATAATGAGGAAATCAGTGGAATGAGGATTTGATTATAAACTGCTTTTAGGGTACATAATTTATTCAACAAATAACAAGATTATCTAGTTCTACGCAATTCAGTCCACAAAATAAAGACAAGTAATATGTGGTTGACATTCATTTTTTATAATCTTAAATATCAGCCTGACCTCTTCTTTAAATAGCTATGACGGACCCTTATTAAGCTTTAATTTGACAGAAAGTGTTGGAGGGGTTAAATAAAAATGTTCGAATTGAATGAGATAACTTATGTAACAGGAATATAAAATGTGACCCGAATTAAGAAACCAAGTTGGAAGTCATTCTATTTTCTATTTCACCATATTTTATCTAAAAGGTTTTTTTTTGGAACTATACTTCGATACAAACTACCGCTGTATGATCTCCTTCAAGGTTACGAGAGGGATTCGCTAGTGCAGACACCACCACTTGTCGGAATGGAAACCATTGAAACTCAATACTCCCTAGCCTCCCATGAACTACCTAGTCTTCGAATATCAATGAATGAAGCCCCCGGCTACTGTGCACTCTTAATTCAGGCCGTGGATTTGGATGAGGGTGAAAATGCGGAATTACGTTATTCTTTGAAGCTTGCAGCTAATTGTACACCCCCAAGTATGCCGACATCGAGATTTGGACACAATCTCGAAAAGGAAAGGAAGGAAAATGCAGAAAGAGAGTTTCGGCAATTTTCCCCTCACACATTCAGAATAGATGAGCGAACCGGGAAACTTCTTTTGGTACGTAGGCTGTCGGACAAGGAACTAGGTTCTTACTGTTTGGGACTCGTTGTGGAAGATCAGGGTCATCCACCGCTCAAATCCATTCAGGTAAATACGCTTCTTTTTCGAGTGGAAAATTGTTAATTCATGCAGGATTTTAGTTATAGAATAAAATTCTTAGTTTTTTTAGCAAATATCGGAATGGCCCCTGCGGTTATAAGTATGAGAAGATATAGATGTGCACATAAAAATCTAACTGCCCCCAACTCTACCACTACAGTAGGTTTTGCTATAGATGAAGATTTTTGGATTCACTTTCTTAGTAGTAACATAATTCCAACCTAAGCTTTACTTTCTACTTTTAATTTAGATTTTATTTTTGCACTTAACGGTATGGGCTATAAAATTACTTACCCGTTATTCTTCAAATTACACACTAGACTCAAATGGGTTCATTAAAGAGCGTATATCATCTCCGAAGTATGTTAGCAACCGCTTCAACTTTGACAACTTTGCATATTTCGCCAAAAAAGAGAGTTTTGCTCAACGAAATTAACTTTTTTTGCATTTGGAAACCAATTAAAATGTGTTTTTGAAGTCCAACAAATATTACCATTAACCATTCACAACTAAATAACCTTTTACTCTGGACTCAACGACTACTTGTATGCTATCGGGTCCCATTTGCAGCTCACAGGTGGTGAATCCTCTGTCACCGTGTTTAATTTTTGCCGCTATAAGGCGCAAGGGCGGGAATTAACAAAAAAAAATGATATTTTATAATTTGCTGCCTGAAAAATATGTGAATCTTGCATTATAAAGTGTGGATAATAACTGAACTTTCCCTGGGGTTGCTGTATAGTCAAATAGTTGTTATCATGATAAGTGTATAAAGACCTCAGATGTAAAAAAAATGAAAGTGCTTGCAATGGGAAAAGAGTATATAATCTGCATTTCGTGTGATTATAGGAAAACTAGAACTAACGACTTTATTTTGCCAGAAACTTACAATGACCTAGGGAGCTTGTCTTCCACTTTTATATAAGTTGGCTTGCTTTAAATTTTACAGGCGGAAAACGTTGGTTTTTTTAAGCTTGCCATTACCTCACTTATTTATTGTTGCCTTCAGAAACAGTCTGATGAAGTAGGACTACATTCCTTACGCATATATTAGATAGATAAACTACTCCTAGCTCATTACGCTCAGAAGATGGAGGAAAGTTAAGCATGGAAAGCAGTCATGGTGGTCAGAAGTTAAGTAAATGCAAAAAAATCTTTCAGATACCCTATAAAACTTTATCAAACCAGCAAATTAAACAAATTTGACTAAAGCTCATTAGCTCTTTCGGCGCACAAACGTCGTATTCGTGTGGTGTGGCTTATAAGTATGCAAAACTGATCGCACTCTAGAATGATATTAGAAGTTAAAAATAAGTTCAATTTTTTAAAGATCTAACGTCACGAATCAGTACACCTGATATGATTTGGAGAAAAGGGACTATTCGAGTATGGAATTAACAATTGTACCGAATTTTGGACTAATTTACGTTTTGGAATAAGAAAATTAACTAACCTTAATATGTATCGAATATTTTTGCAATTCGTGGGAAGATGGCAACTCGAGGATCCTTTTGATCATTCTTTCCAAGCACGAAGAAGGGCATACATACATAAAGGTTATATAAAACTTAGACGTCTTAAAATCTAAACTGCAAATCAGCGCACATTTCAAATCCTGCACTGTGCAGTCGTTGGTGTTTGATTACTTTAAACACTTTGCCTGTCAGCTCATTCGTCAATAGAATTTCAACGACTATGAAGCAAATTTATCTGGCCAATGTCTTACTTTAGCCCACTCTTTTCATGTAAATGCAATGGTTGTTTCCAACTCCCATTTGCACCATTTATTCGACATTGTCCCTTTACCACCCTGTAGGAGCGGTTGCGATATGCTTTACCAGTATTGTCCGTTGATGAACCCTAACATTCTAGTATTCATACAAAGCAAAACAAAGTCACTCCAAATTTATTAATTAAATCGTTTTAAAAGTAAAATCAAGAAATGTCGCAAGTAGGCAAGTTTAGGAACTCTACCACTTTAACTGAATAATGGCGGGAAACGCCAATGGCCCAAAAGATTGCCCCAAATCTGGTGTCAGCCCGCGAAAATAGTTTAAAATTGAAACGCAAAAGGTCGTATAAATAGGATTATTAAAACCTTTGCCTCACAAATGCATCTTGAATCAATTATATGATTAGGAGAACCTGCTAACCAAAATGAAGCATCGACACGTGCCTTAGACACTCGTTCGAAACACGTGTGTCCTACCTTTTGGATGACAAACGATGCTTTTCGGGTGGTTTATTTTTGAAACCATTATTTTCTCTTTTACTTAGAGACGGCGTTCTGTCGGATCCGCCATTATCTTCATTTGCAACAGGCACAAAAATAGTTTTCCTCAACGTTAACACGTGATAAAATATTTGGACAGTTTAAGCTGCGTAGCCAGCTTTGTCAATCTTGCAAAACTTTCAAAATGTAGAAAATGCGGATAGTGCTAGATTGCATGTGGCATTGTAAAAATGTACATCTCATTTTGTTTAGCGCAAAATTAATCCAAAGTGCAGCAAATGCAAATGCAGTATTGTACTTATAACAACTTGGGTACTTGTTGTCCCAGGCGCGTAAACTACGGAGGTGCTACAGTTCCTATGCTGAATCAATGTACGACTTATGCACTTTTATACCGGGAAAGTTAAGTTCACAATATTTGTTTTGCTTATAACAAAACCGAGTAACTTTATCAGTGACCTATATCCTAGTAAAGAACGAGAGCAAAGTAGGACTGTTTACATATCACAGCTTATTATTTAAGGCTTGAGTCCTTACTAATTCAGATATGGTCTTAACTACTGATATATCAGGCGACCATAATATTTGCTACCGAGTTGGCAACCGGGGAACTTAGAAATATGCGCAACTTCATTGGTAATCGAATTGTATTTTTCTTACCTTTTTAAAGGGAAACAGATTTGCCCTTCATGGCATATACCAGGGAATAATTGACAAATGAACTAGAATTATTGCTAAGTTGATTTTGCTTGAGATCTAACACTGATAATAACAAATAACCCAAATGTGAAGGGTGTGAATCTGTGGTTTGCTTATAACTAACCGACTTTGGTTAGCTTACTTTTTCCTCTTCTATTTATCATTTCCAAGTCGTAAGCAAATCCTAAGACCTTGACTCCCAAATGGTAGGGGTACACTTTATGTATTCAACTAAATCTCATATTTTACAACGGGTAAGGAGTGCAGTTAGATGAAACATTAAAACGATTGTGAATTTCACCTAATACTGGACTTTCGTTTCTTGGTCCTTAAATCGATCTTTATCGTGAACACATTTTTTCTGTCAAATTAACTTCATGAATGGGGCCTTTCCTAAACCTGCTCCAATGGGCTGATCAATTTTGGAGGATTTTAATGCCGTGCGATGTTTTTCTCTGTGCAAAGCGAAGCGGAAGAGATTTGGAAAATTTCACTCTGTTTCTCAACCTCAAAATATGCGAATGTAACAGTAGTGCGCATAAATATTTTTAACGCATTGGATTTGAGATAAATGGGTAGAGATAAGCGGATAGAGTCGCATTAACTTAGTCAGTTTTAGAGTCAGATGGAAGGAATTTGTTAAAAAGTGAAATTACTTCATCCATTACCTTAGCTGACTCGAGGAAGGAATTTTAGATTGGTTAATGGTCACGCGCACATGTAAGTGAACCTTTAAATAGCAACAGGCCAAACGTAACAAATTAATCCGCGATAAAAGAGGAAAGTGCTTAACCAAACCTGAAGGCAGCAAGACTTGCTTGGTTTCAAGTCTACACACATTCTGGATCAGGAGTTTTGTGACTGTTTACCGCCAAGTCTTGCTAACGGATATTCAAATAATTGTTTGTTTATATGATTTCATGTAATCAGTGATCTTCCTAGCATTAAGGTGTTGCGATCTTACAATAAGGAGTACACGTGTTAATAAACAGAATCCACCATACACGTGTTTCTCTGGAATATTCCGAGCATTAATAAATTCGCAACTAGTTATTACCCGAGCATCACATTGAAGTTCAACACAGACTACTTTGATCCATCAAATAAATTTGCGCTTTTGTGAATATGCTTTGTAAAAATTAACTAGCAAGCTAGTGACCACCCAATAAACGTCATAGCCAATATCATTCTTGTGAACTTAAAGATAAATTAATGAGGTTTCTTTCAGTCACTTGCTTGTAAAATTTAGCAAATCATAATATTTCCAAAGTAGTACTGGGAAGAATAGGGTACGTGCCTAAGGGCCCCTTTAGTATTATTTCACATTTGCATATTGTTTTAATTCAATGTTCCTGACTCCTAAATAAACACGGCTTGGAGGTGAACTAAGGTGATTCTTGAGGAATTAACGCTGGCGTATTTGAACAAAAGCATAGCTGCATTATTCATTGATATTGCTTTTTAAACGAAATAGTAATATCAATAGATATGCATGGAATTTTGTTATTAAAAGAGAGTGGAATCCTCACTGCTAAACTCTTGCAATTGTTTTTATGCGACGTTCGTCTCACGTACCCTCAGCTTCTGCGGCGGATGGGGGTCAACATTTGGTAAAAAACGCGAATTTTATATGCAAAATTATGGCTATCAAGCGACTATGTGATGTCGTATTTGCATTATTCGCAAATTTATTTGATGCAATTAAGAGATTCCAAAACGGAGACGTAGGCGTAATTAGACCCCAGCAAGTTTAAAGCTGCAGGCAGACTAAAGCACTTATCTTGCACGCATTCGTGGGAGAGAACTCAATCTATTTTATGGAGTGTAAAGTCGTGTCACAGTAAAGCCTTTCACCTTTTGAACTTTTCCTATTAACTACCACATTTGCATAACCAACTTCATCTTTTCGTCTTTCTGTGTTCATTGGTATTTATGATACTAGTTCTAACAAGTCTTATATCGAGTACCATTAAAGGTAATTAGCGAAAACTAGTTTAGCCTCTTCGCCAGGCTGAAGTCATCTGAACGATTTTAGGTGCGTTTCAAAACACTTTAAGACAGTTAAAGAAATGTTATACGGAATATGTGATTTTAAGACAAGTTTAAAAAATTATTAAATGCCGATAATTCGCCATTTTATTGAGGATTACCCGTTCTTCGTTTACTATTTATGTGATTAAACATTGATAGGCAGAATTGGTATGCAATAGTTCAGGTCTTATACACTCTGTAAATTATATACATAGCCTTTTATCAAACTTTTCGAATTTTCAAGATTGCGCCGTTACTAGAATGATAAGCTGACTGACTTGTTACCTTTGCTAATGCAACGAAGAAAAACAAGAAAATACTTTTGCTACCTTTATTTCCTTCACGTTGCGAACCTGATCGGTAAATTGGTGCAGTGTTAGTAAAATTATTGTAAAAAATTGAAATTTCCCATCCCCAGGTTCCGACTGTTTGAAATTCCTTTTACATGTTCATCAGCTAATTGAGCTGGTCATAGAAGATGTTCCCAGCCGAGGAAATTGGCTCGGTGCAGGAGGCGACGGGAAGAACAGTTTGAACCACGGATCCTTTGCCACCTCCTATCGGATAGAAGCAAAAAACATACTCATCGTCATCGTCCTCTCTACAGTGTCAGCTTTTCTCGCCGCCGTTCTGATCAGCGCCATCCTCTGTATGGTACGCCCCTTCCACAAGTCTCGTAGACGACGTAGTGGAGACGCGGTCTTGAACGATGGCGTCGGTTGCGGTGGCACGATGAAGCTGTCACCCTTTGGAATGGAGCCACACACAAGCCCCACTCTCCTCATGAACCCGCGCAGCGGAGCCCTCTCCTGCTCAGACTCGGCCACGCTAGATGGCTGCTCTGCTGTCGGCGAAGGCACGTGGATTGTTGGCACCACGGGGACTCTCATCAGCGCCTACGACGGCAACGAAATGAAAAGTGGGGCTTTTCGTTTACAGGCTGACGGCATGGTGCGTTCAGTTTGAAATAGCATGTGGTAGTACAAGGGTTGCGCTTGGCTAAATCCCTCAAAATTAGGTTTATTGAGGACTTAAAGAAATGACGAGAAATTACTTTTTGAGATGGATTATTGTGTTAAAGATGAAAGAGTTTTATGGCTCACTAAATATTTTTTTATACACATTGTTTGGGCTGCTCAAACAGCAAGTTTTGCTCAGGGTTTCGTTAGTACAACGAAATCCACTATGGAACATCCAAATTGATAAAATGAATCAAACTTGATGTAAAATTTCCCACTTAGAGTCACTCCTTAAGCTTAACACAAACAAATATCCGATTAATGTGATTTCTCAACATCAACTCATACTACCTTCAATGACAGTGATGCTCATCATAACATCATCTGCTCTTGGGATATCTCTTTCCAGCATTTGGAAGCTAATGGCCCTTTTAAGTACCCTTCTTTGTCTTTAAAAATACTCAAGGAACAATAGGAATCAAAGTGACTTCGATTAGTTAGAAAAAGATTATGTTTAAGGTTGATTGCTGACGCCTTCAATTATCAAAACTCGTGGTTAACGTATTGCTGAATGACTTTGCATAATCTTGTTAATATTCCACGTGCCTCCATACTTTTCACAATATTCTCTAAAAAACACAATCCTTTACTCTGGTTACTAGCCCAAGATCAACGAGCAGAGGTACCTCTTCACTCACAGGATGTAATGTGTGTTCTCGAATTTATTTCAATCGACGTTTGGATGATCGCCAAAAATCGCTATTTAGACTCAAAATTGGGACATCAACCCAAGTTACTTACGGACCAATAAGCTGGCACTAAATTAGCATGATAGCAACAGTCTCAAGCCGCATGCGTGCAGCCTGATTAGTTTGATCCTGGTAACTTCTGCTGATAATGGCTTGTTGTGACCAAATACGCATCAGTTAGACGTAAAGATTTATTCGCGGTAGTCGACTTGTCTTGCATCAACTGGCTCTTCAACGTATCTTAGCTTATTAAATGTATGAATGCTCTATGTTCCTGTTTTACTTGTGATTTCAAAGCATTTCGCAATGTCAATGCACATGCTATAGTCTAGTCCACCCAGCGGACTAAATTGGGTGTTGCGGTGGAATCTTTCTTTGACTGTGAACGGCTGAATAGCCTCCCACTATTCTCGGCACGCCCGTATACTGCCTTGATCGCGATTCCATTCCCCACGTGTCGCCTCAGACCAGCCTACATTTGCTTTGATACGCTACGCTGGGTCTAAAATGATTATTTCGATGGTATTTGAATAACCTGATCAGGGGTTCATCAGTTAACTGAGTTTGCGCAAACAGCTATACCATAGTTAACAACTTGAAAATGTCATAAATAGTGTCTGCGCTTGGCTCGATTGTTGCCAATCTTGTATCGTTCAGCAAAGCTTGGTAAAATTAAAAGCCGTATTGGAACAACTTTTTCATTAATATAAACAAGCCATTGTTAAATTCAAATAAACCCTTGCAGATCTGCATGAAGCTGCTAGGGGCGTTCATCTTTTATCAAAAGGTCAATGTCATTTCATATTCATATTTGCTAAGAGATTAGAATGGAGTATAAATAATATCCTTGACGAGCAAGAAGACAATAGATATGTTGATATTTCCTCACCAGAACAGTTATCTGTAAGGAAGAGCTAGTTGCATTTTCGTTATAAGTAAAACAACTTGGTTTATCAAGCAGGACGTTAAAATGTCTTGTGCCTCTTAATTTGATCTTTCTTGATCAAGTATGCATTTTAGCCGAAAAAATAAATTGCTGTGAAATATTTGCTTTCATGGGTCTATTTTTAAAATATCAAGACGCTAGATTCAAGAGTGTTCTCCTCATACATTCAAGTTCTGATCGTAAACATTGCAAATGTTATCTCTAGTTATGCTCTGTAATTTGAAATAAGGACTCTTGTCATTTCACCGTGCTTTTAGCTGTTCCTTTCGTTTTTACTAAAAAAAACAATTTTTCATCGAAAGAACTACCGGAAAGTTGAAGCCTGATGATCATAATGGTCCTGCCCGAGACTTACCGACAATAGAGTGCTCAGGGTACCACGGATTTGTACGTGCATCCAGACATGCCATATTATTGCTCATGGAATCCTATTTTTAAAAAAGTATCCTTTTTCGTTTAATGCAGATAGATTTAAGTCTTAGTCTACAAGAGGAAGTAGAAATACCAATGTCGCATGAATAAATTTTTGAAAACCTATTTTACAACATCCAGGTCGGGAATGCGAACTGCAAATTAGAACAGAACGCTTTAAAGTCCTTAAACTGCCAAACTGCGTGAGTAGTTTACCCAATATGAAAAGAGAACTCCTCCATTCTTCCAATCTTGTCTGCCAAAAAGCATTTCTTGCATAACCTGGTAAAGCCTATTTTGGTGCAGAACTACTTTTCTCATGCAAATGTCAGGCAAACAGGACTTTTAAGCGATGGCGCTTAGTAAACAGGTGGTTGTAACAAGTGGTCGGTTTGATATCTTCCCTAATTTGCAAAAAAAGAAACACCCTGGATCATGCAGGCAATCGGGCAGAGCGTATCATTTATTGCTAAAAAGGTGATAAAATGGTTAATTTTTACAATGATTTGAGCCAATAAGTATGGACCCAGCGCCATGGAACAGGGCTTACATTTTTGTCGGACCAACCACAAAGGTGCTGCAAACCAAAACTTTAATACTTTAGCTAGCTACATAGTCACAGGTCGCTAATTTTTGCAATGTTGTGAAAAAAGCCGGATTTATGAATGGGACGAAAGGTTTTTACATTGATAATTGTCACAGATTTGGTCATAATAATCAGTGTATGGGTCGGCTTCTATATTCAAAGTCAAAAATCAGAAAAAAACGCAAACTAAAGTCCTGTCTTATTAATAAAACAGAGGCTTTGTGTGGCAAAAAAAATTAATTAACAAGTGACGCCGATAGGTTTGCAGTTTTTGACAAATCTTGTCTTCGGTCCTAATTACTTATTCAAAATCAGGAATAAACATTTACTCCTATTTTTGGGAATTTTAGAACTCTCGCCCAAAATGAAACAGACCTCCAATTTAACGGTCTGTAGGTGTCCTGAATCATAAGACAAGGAAACCGTTCATAATTTTGATGATATCGAGGTAATGATGTTTGATTCGCATGCCAATTGGGATTAAGAGCATGTTTAAATAAGGCATTTTACATAACTAACTAAGAGGGTCTAACAGTCCTTGAATTATATCTGTCAGGTAAATATCAGTAATAAACAGACGTGACGAATAAAAACTCAAGTTACCGTATTCATCAGCAAAGGAATCTTAAAGCAACTGCGGAATTTTCAGTTCTCTAGTTTCATACATATCCTTTAATTTTTTGTGTGTTTGCCTTTTTTTCTTACCAAAATGCAACTTACAAAATAGTCCCAACAGCCTTTTGGGTCGGAAAATGCCGTCAAACATTCATACAAGCATGTTAGGGAAAGCCTCCGAGCATTCTTCGAGCTCTTAATCATGGGGCACCCTGTCCATTTACCATTCTGAAGTTGACATAGAAGCATCATGCAAGTGCTCCAAAATTCCACAGAGTACCGGATTGGACTGTTTGTGTCTGCAATCCAGACTGCACATTTATGCTATGTTTTGGTGATGAACTTGTTATGTGAATGTTCCAATCCCGACATCTTTGATTTAAGCAGTATATTCTGTAATTGTTTAAATGTTAGTCATGCTTCCTTACTTCCTCCGAAGTACGTTACCTTCCGATATTTGATAAGTTGCACTATGGGACTTCTAGGCGCCGATTTGGAGTCCGATGCATATGGCATCAAGCGATTGCACTTTTGAGACCGAGAGCCTAATTCCCATAGGCTTACCATCTGAAATCGCAGGGAATCCAATCTCCTCTGGTAGTACTTTGCAAAGGGGACAACACTTTCTACTACACCAATCACCTGCCCTCGGCTGCCCCTTGTCCCGTGGTCCTACCGTTGAGATGGTCGCGGTATCTTGTGGCCAGGACGAGCAGCGCTCCGATAGCGGACGCGGGGCCAGCGACGAGGAAGCCATGTTCCAGGGGCCATTCCAATCCATCCTCTGTGGATGTCCCGTCGCCTCCACAGGAAAAGTCTCTGGCTCGGTTACGCTGGCTGCAGACCACCCAGGTCCATTTCCATTGAGGGAAGGTGGCGATACACGCTAAGGCAAAATCACCTTGGCACAATAAAGTAGACCGTAGATACTCCGATCACTACTAAATGATTTGCTTCTAATTATTTCAAATAACAGATGCATAATGGACATGGAGCTCTTTTACTTAAGTTAAAAGTTACAATATTTTTAAAATTGAGTGAAAAATGCCACTAGATGAAGACAATTTCAGATGGACTGTAATAGTCATCTGGGAAAAATTAACATTCCATAATTCGGCACATTTTGATGACGAAAATAAAGTGACACTTAGATGAGAATTAGACTATTTGTTTTTCCTGCCACAAACTTCATTTTAATTTTCGATATGACGTTGTTTTGGCTTTAAAGATTCATCTATTCTTTTTCTTCTTTAGGTTTCGTTGGCACTCTCCCACGCCTCGAGACTAGCGAGACACCCGTGACCCCTATCACCACCACGAGTGGTATATATTTGTGTGCTAGCTCCCTAGCAGGTCAAACAGGAACCGTTTCCACCACTTCCGCAGCTGAAGAGAGGCCTCAGAGATCCGTGTCAACTTTCGTTACTTCAGAAGAGAAGGAGAATGGGAGTTTACCATGTAGCGAGGTACCTCTTACCTTGGTCGGAAACATCAGCAAGACATTCAGTTTGCCGAGAGAGGGTCTCTGTATGACAAAAAGCCTTCTCGATGATCATACTGCTGACGAGAGCGCCAACAGACTATGCCAGGAGATCGACCACCTCCTCTTTGACAACATGATTTAGTGTTTTTGTCTTTTCTCTCCCCTTGCATGTGAGTGTAAATGTGTGAATTGAAGCGACACACGTATTTCGCTTCTGTACACTTTATGCAAATACTGGCGGAACGCATGCGCATGTCTGCCGTTTTTGTAGGGTTTCGCTTTAACAACCACTCTTTATGCAAACATACCCCAATATGTATGCACGAGGTTGTAGATATTGTGATTGTATCTATGTAGGAAAGGCAAAATTGTTTGCCTCTTTATCATACTAAACTTTTCACAGTTTTCTTTCCTTGGATTTCATGCAAAATGGCAAAATATGCTGTAGTACAATCTTTTAAGGCATCAAACTAATTAAGTCCATTATATTTATGCAAGGCAAGTGTCATGCCTGTTCAGGGAAACGTGTTGAATGAGATAAGCGAGAGACAGGCTCGAAGGCCCCTCATTATGCGATAAGCTGTACGTTGTGACTGATATTTAAGGCACAAAGCAACTTCAATAAGGCGCTTGTATAAATTTTAGATACTTTCCATTAAAGAAATGGTATAGTGCATAGGGTGCAACTTTATTTCAATTTAGGCATGAATAATGAGGCCGGTAGCTTTCTATCACACTAAAATAAGCGATGAAGTGTCTGCCATATTTCTTCTGATCTGTCAAGCCTAGATCGTAGTTACCAGTCTGTTAAATATGGAATTTATTGGAGGCAGATTTCGTTATTTTGACTCGTGCTCAAGTAGGTGCCCCATTAGTTCTCCCACAATGAAGCCCTCCCATAAAATACAGATAAGCAAATATTCACTTTACTTTGAAGACCATCTAAAGGTTTCATTTAAAACCTATTTTCTCAAACCATTGAGGGATGCACGATTCCAAATGCAAGGTTATTTTGTGTATTTCAGCAAATCTAATGTGCAAAGTGCAAAAGACATAGTGGAGTAAAATGTGATCTTTGTGAGCCCGAATTATCGCCAGATTAAGAGACAAAAAAAATTGCGAAAGTAATTTGTTGCGGCAACAGAAATGTTGGTAGGCTGAATGGGGAGGAGTGGTCGATCATTTTTGGGGTGTAAAATTTATACGCGTACGGCAGACCACTATGAACGCTAAAGTAATAATAGCTTAAAGAATCTCATGCTCTAAATGGAGGAGTTTGTTCTTAATGCCAATCTTTTTCATCGAAAAGTTAAACTATATTAAAAACAATCGCAGTGTTAAACTGATTAAGGGCTTAGAAGCGTCCTCTCGTGTACATCAGCTATGGCCTTCTTGAGTTGAGTAAAACACCACTTTTAAGGGACATCTACAAATATCTTGATTACATAAAACAAGTACTTATTCAGTAGTAGTTTATTAGAGTTTGTTTAACTAAATTTAATTGGTCAGTTTACTGAAGTTGCCGCCTTTAGGTCTCAGCAAGTAGTAAATGAATTCTTGAGTGCATAATCAAGATAAAACTAAATCCCTGTAAGGCAGAATAAAACTCAATTTTAAGTGCTTTGAGGTGTGTTGCTAGATCTGCTGTAATGGTTTCTGGGCGAAAGGCGCAAATTTTATCATATTTGCCCTTGAAAATATTGCAAATGCTCCATTTGTATCAAATGTAGATTAGTTAACTTGCATAAAAGAGAAGGTCGTTAATGAAATGTTGATTGCATGTAACTACGCTTGCTGATATCATCTAGACTAATTAAATATGCAGCCAAATACGCTCACGTTATAAGTACATCGCCTTCTTGCGGGCTTGCTCGTTTACGCGTTATCAAGCATGCTCATACTGAATGGCAGACATTATTCACCCTGGAAAAAATTCAAGGCACAATCGAAGCACCGATCGAAATTTGGGGCAAAACGGGATAAGATGCGCTAAAAGCCAGCTAGCTGAATATTCATGATACCTCAAACCTCCCACTACAACGAATGGCCATAGTTTTTGAGAAATACCTTGCCATAATTTTACTTTCATTAGAGGTCAAATATTTGCTAAAATGCATACAGTTTGGTAGATTATTTTCCAAATCCCAAACCTTATACTGAGTCGCACTGCAGAAACCCCAACCTTTCGCAGAATTCAGAAATTCTATGATTAACTGCTCGCATTTGTGGTTGGCTTCAGGATTTTGTTAGAACGTGCGTAGAAGGTGAATTGATGCGCCATTCATTCGCCTGCTTGTGCTGCTGTAAAAGGTAAATAATAGTCGATTGTGTATGTAGTGATATCAGTAAGCGTTCAACCTCTCTAAAAATAATTACAAACTAAAAATTACTTATGAGCATCATGCACAGGCTTCGTGCTAAACTTACCTTGACCAAAAATCATGTAGTTTAATTTCAAAGTGATGGAGATCTCTAAGTAGTTATTTCAATTATTGCCTGCATTGGTGTCTACAACTAATGTTCACAACTTTGTGTAAACCAAGCGCCAGGGTTACATAGTAACCTAGACCTATTTCTACACCAAATGGAGGCAATTATTAGTGTTTTAGCCAACTTTGCAAGAATTAATTGGTTCAATCGCAAAATTTCTGGTTTGGTTTTATTTAAGAACATTTATAAATGACGTGAATATCCAATGGAAATAAAATATAGGGATATTACCTTTTATTAACCTATTTTTAGCTTTGGGATGTATTGTTGATGTGATGTTAATAATTTTGGCTAACATTTCTTAGTTCTCTTCAACCTTATTCTAAATACGTATGCGGATTCCTTTGGTAACATTTTGCGTAGCCAAAATATTGCGTACATTCTGAGAGCATGACAGTTTGCTCATTTCACTAAAATATAGGATTGTGTGACTTTGTAACATATCGGCACAACTGAAATACCTAGTAAGGTTTCGATTGAGTTCTACTGTATATTTTTATATTTTTGACTACATATTATCATAGACTGAAAAATTAAGATGATGGCAAAAATGCTAGAATTTCTTATGAAAGATGGTATCTACCTACCCATTTTGCTTTTCTATTTTCAGGAGCTAACTACCTGAAGCTGAATACAGTAATGTAAAGCTCATCTAAATTAGTCTAAGCTTTGTCCATATGAAATATTTAAAATGCCGAATAAAGGGGCTGAAGAAGAAATATTTTTAAATGTGTAGCGATAACCTCACGAGCAACATCTACTGTACGCAGTTGTGACTATGGCATATGAATATAGAAACTGGCAATAAACGTCTCCCTTTATAGCATTAAGGTTAACTGTGAATTAGTGCGAAACCTAGTTAAACGTGAGCAGGGTACCATCATACGCTGTTTACATTTGCGCTAAGCTTTGTGAGACGGATTGTACCTTTCATGCATTCCTGATCCATGAAAACAACCTTAGAATGTACTTTGACTGAATCCGCGCAAGGGCCATTATGGATGGTACTTACTACCCATGTGAGGCAATTTAAGCACACACCATCATGGGGATACTATGCTCTTAGCGCAGTGTAGACACCAAATACATGCCACTGAGTCACCGCATAAAAATTAAGGCAAATTCAAAGAAAGAGAAGATGAACGTCAGTTTACGTTTTCATGGATAGTTTTAAATAATTTTAGCGGCGTAAAACCATTCAAGGGTGCTTGGAAATAGAACTGGATTGCCATGTTTATTCCTCACTTTTACAAATCATATATACTAACAAAACACCTCAGGAATATCATGTTGATTTGAGCCCTATCAAGGTAGTGCGGAACTGCAACATAAAAAAGGTTTGCCTGGAGGGAGAGAAGGGCTGCTCTGCATGCAAGAGGGCTTAACCAACTTCAGTTTCGCCCTCTTACCCAGACTCCAAGGCAGGGTGCCCCTCCCCCCCATCCTCTACCTCAATGGCAAAAGCGCAAATTAGTCATAATTTGCCACGTGGGCAGTTTGACTCATCGACATCAGAAAAGTGTGCCTTGACACACTGGTGGTTTTGTGTCCCAACTCCGCACTGATTGGTAATGTCTGTTTCCAGCTGTAGTTGGTGCATATAGTAGTTTGGTGTATATATTTTTAGTTTAAAACTTTTAATACCACAGCCACATAGACCTAACCCAGTTATTTTATTTTACACCTCGTGATGTGAACTCTCACACAGAAATAATGAGTCCATTCAAAATTTTCCAAACAGAAGAGTAAAGTTTTGAGTGAGTTTGCAAGCCTGGCTAGCTGAAAAATCACATATTTTAAAAATAGAAAATCTGGGTTTTTCTTGACCAGTTTAAGGACACCGTCGGAACTTTTGATGAATTCTCTGGAACGTCAGCAAAGGTCCCATTTCCCTCTTGGGATTACGCATTCCAGGTTCCCTCCTACTCCAGCTAAATAATCAGCTGTATTTAAACTTGAGCATGAACGTAAAACTGCCGCGGAATTTGAAATTTAAAACCTTTAATTTCGGCTTGAAGGGTGCTCTTCAAGGTCTAAAAGGAGAACTGTCGCGTATCTTAATGAAAGTCATCCCAGCATTATCGAGGTCACAGGTGTGAACTGAACATAGATAAAACTGTAACCCAAGTCAAAGCGCTGTAACAAAAAACCTCCAATAATTTTATTAATCCACAAAAAAGAATACTCGTTTCATGGCTCTTGATAAGTTCTAATTGGTGGATGGTTAAATAAAAGTTGCCAAATAGTTCTCTAAAAATTTGTTGGATGCTGAGGCAATCAAATTGCTTGGTTAAATAAAAGTGCTACAATATGCAATCCCAACAGCTTTTCACAATCAACTGGTTTGTTCTTGATTGCTTTTAAAGGATGCAAACTAAGTTCAAGGCAGAATAATTCGATTTCCGGCTTGTAGAAAATTTTCTTATACTGCATGAGAATGCTATTATTGTATCCCCATTCATGATTCCAGTATCTGGTGTGTAATACGATAGTGGTTTATCCCTCGGTTCTGGTGAGGCGCCACTTTTGTACTTTGAATTAGCCCCCTGGTGCCTCGCTGGGTGGGCTGGCCTTTTGGGCTATGCCAATAGCCCAGACACCTTCTCCGTGCTGAATATATATATTCTGCCCAAGTATTGTGTCTTCTTTCGT